CGATGTGTCTGATACGCATAAAATTCTGGGTCTGTGCTGGTCTCCCAGCTCTGATTTATTTAGTTTAAAAATTTGCCCGCCCGCTGAAAAGTGTACAAAACGCACCATTTTATCTTGTCTCGCAAGATTGTGGGATGTAATGGGTTTCGTAGCACCCGTTATATTATTTGCCAAACTTCTTGTCAAAGAGTTATGGTTATGCAACTGCGATTGGGACGACGCCCCCCCTGAAGTTATCGTCAGACAATGGTCACGTTTCAGGGATGAGCTCCCCAGTCTAGATCAAATTAAATTACCGCGCCATGTTGACATCACAAAACGCAGTGTGGTGGACATCATTGGCTTCGCAGACGCTAGTGAAAAGGCTTATGGTGCTGTTGTGTACTTCCACGTCGAGAATGATGGTGTGAGTACTGTGCATCTTATAAGTGCAAAATCTAAGGTTGCACCCCGCAAGGTCGTGTCGTTGGCCCGACTCGAACTTTGCGCAGCGCTTTTGCTCGCTAATTTAATTAATAATATTGTTACCGCTGTTAATAACCGCTATCCAATTAATGCAATACACGCATTTTCTGATTCAACAGTGGCTTTATGTTGGATCCACGCATCTCCCCACAGGTGGGATACTTTTGTCGCGAATAGAGTTTCTAAAATTCAATCTCTGCTTTCACCGCATAATTTTTATCACGTGTCTGGTTCGGACAATCCAGCCGACTGTCTATCGCGAGGGCTTACTCCTGCCCAAATAATTCACCACCCCCTATGGTTCAACGGCCCGCAGTGGGCTAAATCCACCTTTTCGGAATGGCCAGTCACCACTTTCAATTCTTCTGCTGTTATGGACCCGCCTGAGGAGAAGAAACTCTCCTTTGTTACTCGCACACCGCCAGAAGAATCTGTTTTCATCGCTCTGGCAAATCGCTTTTCTTCTTGGTTCAAGCTTCTTCGCTGCGTAGTTTATGTCTGTCGTTTCGCAAAATTATTAACACCGCACTTAATTATTACCCGCACATATTAAAATTTTACTCCGTTGAAATATTTGCCCGCCGCAGAAATAGCTGACAGTTCTTTGATTTCACGCCACGCATTATTAGACAGATTAGTGCAAACGTTCTGGAAGCGATGGAGAGCGGAGTACCTGCACACATTACAATCTCGCGAAAAATGGAATACGCCCGTCAATCAGATTACTGTCGGAACTGTTGTAATTGTACGTACTGAAAACGCGCCACCACTTCATTGGCCTTTAGGGGTTATTGAAGAGGTCTTTCCGGCTTCTGACGGCGTAATTCGGGTTGTTCGTGTAAAAACTGCAACCGGCTCTTATTTGCATCCGGTTGTACGTCTGTGCCCCTTACCTAGACATTAGTTTTAGTTAATACGAGTTCTAGGTTAAGGTTTAGTTTATTTTAAGTTTCTATTTTTACTTTGAAGGCGTCCCTTCAAGGCGGGGGGAATGGTTGCGCCATATAACATTACATTTTTGTTTATCATTGTATAATTATTATTAGTAATAGTTTGTTCAAATAAATAATTTAGCGTGGTACGAAACGTTAATTTTCTAAGGATTGGCACTACACTAATTCCTTTATCCTCTCCTATTCCCGCACATACCTTTGTTTTAAGTGCGAGCGAGAAGATTCGCTTGTATCGAAAGTGACATATCGCGCTCGCGCGTCACTGTAAAATTGAACGCTGAAGTTGACATTGAATTCCCGCCTTGATCGCGCTTAAGATCAAGTTTTTTGTAATTCGTGATAATTACTAAACATTTTAATCCACCGCATCGCTCTAGTGTGTTTAAGACCATTGTGTTTGTGCCATTGTTGTGAAGCAAGTCGCTGGGACCTGGAGACACCGATAACCGCCGCACTGCAACCTACAATTCAAAGGTACTGTGCCTCCTTCCTTACCAGAACTGTCTTTCTTTGTGTTCCATCCTCACAAGCAGTTCTCAATCACCAACCTAACAGTGTATCGTGTCAATCCACGTACCCGTCAGATTATTTAGATACAGTCCACTTAAATATGAAATTAAATTATTTAATTAAATTAAATTATTTAATTAAATTATTAAATTACTTGATCATGAAACACTCTTACTCAAATTAGAATATTACGGTATTAGATATGAAGCACTATGCATGATGAAATCCTATCTAAATAATAGAATGCAAGTTGTTGAAATAAATGGTGTAAAGTCTGAGGGAACTAGTATTAAAATGGGTGTTCCTCAGGGCTCTATTCTAGGTCCTTTCTTATTTTTAGTTTACATAAACGATCTTCCTTATATGGTTGAAAAGATAGCTGACATAGTTCTGTTTGCTGATGATACTTCATTAGTATTCAAAGTCAATCGACATATTGATGATATGGACGAAGTAAACGGTTCTCTCTCTTATGTTTTAAAATGGTTTACGGCAAATAATATGCTACTAAATGCAAATAAAACTAAATGTATCAAATTTACTCTCCCCAATGTAAGGCCGGTAGATTCAAAAATTGTATTGGACAATAAATCTATTAATTTTGTTGACGATACTGTATTTCTAGGTATCACATTAGATTCCAAGTTGCAATGGGGTGCTCATATTACTAAATTGGCGAGTCGACTTAGTTCTGCCGCTTACGCGGTAAGAAGAATTAGACAATTAACAGACGTGGCAACGGCTAAACTTGTCTATTTTAGCTATTTCCATAGCATTATGTCGTATGGTATTTTGTTATGGGGCAAAGCAGCTGATATAAATACAATATTTACTTTACAAAAGAGGGCCATTCGCTCCATTTATGGTATGGGTTCCAGGGAGTCATTGCGAGAGTGTTTTAAGGAATCAAATATCCTCACCGTTGCTTCTCAATACATTTATGAAAATATCATCTATGCCAGAAGGAATATAGACAGTTTCAAAAGAGTTAGTGATTGCACTAATAAAAGCTTACGTAACAATAACAAACTGATTTTACCTAAATGTCGTTTGGCTAAAGTTAGTAATTCGTTTTATGGCAATTGCGTAAGGTTTTACAATAAAATACCAGAGTCTGTTATAAATCTGCCAGAAAAAAGATTTAAATGTCAAATAAAACAGTTCCTTTGCAAAAAAGCTTACTATAAAATTGAAGAATTCGTTAACGATAATAATGTTTTTATAGAAAAACTTTAAATCTATAGCACTGACAATATTATCTGATTACATTAATAATGAGTGCGTAGCGACTTCTATGTTGATTATCGCATGCCTCTTACTTGTTATACTGTAATTATTTATATAAAAAAAAACATCTATTAAAAAGAGCAACACACAAGTTTCTTGCTCATTCTTCTTGTGATGAATCTGCATTCCGAATGAGTGGTAGAATCAAAATATGACTATTCAAAAGTGCTTGTAATGAGTTTATTTGAATAAAGATTATTTCTATTTCTATTTCTATTTCTATTTCAATAATCTAAGTTGCCATCTCCTCTCCTTAAGAGGGGAGATGAGATTTCTTTTGGAAATATAAAAAAAAAAAAATTTCTTTCTTCATCTCTTAACTCATCCATGCTTGGCTAAGGCCCGCATATTTGAATATATTACCCCCGAAAAAAGGGAGATATATATATATATATATATATTAATAATAGTCCGCAAATTTTTGTTATCGTAATCATTTATTATATATACAAATTAGTCAGCTATTTATAATTGTCATTGTTTGGTGATATTCACCCGCAATGACAAGTTTAACACCCCATCAAAGGGAGATATATAATATATATATAAAAAAACAATAATAATAATCTTAGGACAATTCACACAGCGCCATCTAGTCCCACGGTAAGCAGAGCTTGTGTTATGGGTACTAGACAACTGATACTAATACATAGAAATTTTTTTTCGTAAATACATACATAATGCCCAGACCGATACAAAGAATCGTACTCATGAATACAAATGTTTGTGCCGTGCGAGGAATCGAACCCGCGACCATCGGCCGTAAAGTGGTGTGCTAGACCGCTAGACCACCGAGGTCGTCATTTATAGTTTCCAATTATACTGTTTGCTGGAGAAATATTGCATTATTTAATTTGTTTTTATTCAAATAAAAAATGTTTTGGACATATTGTACACTGAATTTCATAGTGACGCCGCGGAATGTTCTAGATGTGAAAAATATATAGTATGATCATGCTGTAAATAATATAATTGACGTAGTGGAGTAACCTGAAACAGTCATGCTCGCTATAAAGTTCAAACTTGTGGCGGCGTGGTGGGCCGGTAGTGGTGGGCCGGTGGGTTAAAACTACGCAACGGATTTTGAAGCGGTTTTTAATAGATAGACTGATTCTAGAAGAAGGTTTGTATACAAATAGATGTAAAAGTATAAAGCATTGTGCAAAATATTATACTGCTGACATATTCAAAAGTATCCCCTCCGATCGATCCCCCGTCTAATTCAAACGGGGATCGATATTACGACGGCCTGAGCCGAGGTTCGAACCCCTAGTGGTGCCCTCAGACTAAAGTCGTATCCGTCAGGCGGGAGTTGGCCTTCAGCCGCTCCATAACTCCTTACGCGGCTTTGTAATGCCATCTGCACTCGACCCCTAGCACCCGGTGAAGCTGTAAAGGCCAGCTGCGGCCAACAGCATTAGAGTAGTCCGAAAAAAAACACATTCTCTAAAGAAAAGTCTTCACAATTTAAAATGTCCACTTTTTACGTCGTACGTAACATTATATGGGCTATCACCTTACACTTTTTATATTATTTATGTATTTTGTCTATTATTTTATATAGAAAAATATATATGACATTGTCAATTCTTGTGATGATGATTATACTTTTGTACATAATATTATATTATTGCTTCTTAAAACCCGTGTTTGCATAATTATATCTACCAGCCCCATATATATACAGTCCTTCGTTCACAATGCATTAATGACGGCGTACTTTGAACGTTATGTCGATGATAAAAATGGCACATACATTATATATTTTATATTATAAACACTTACCAGATATTCAAGCACCATATTCCATCCAATGACGAAGGCGATAAATTCTCCAACGCTGACATACGAGTAACTATACGCCGAGCCTGTTGTATTCGGTACACGGACTCCAAACTCAGCATAACATGCCCCTGTCAAAAAATAATAGCAATATAATAATGATGTGAGGACAATTCGCACAGCGCCATCTAGAACCAAGTTGAGATAGCTAATGCTTGTGTTATGGGTACCAGACAACTGATATAAATACATCGATATTTTTTCGTGTATACATACACACTACGTTACTCACACAGTTTTTTTTATCTGTATGTTTGTTGTGTATTGTATTTTGTTTGACTTCACTAATGTAATGTGTATATCTGTTTTTATTTTTGTTCTTATTATTTCACGTCAAGGGCAGACACACACACAAGGCACTGGCCTTGTGTGTGTGTGTGTGCCTTTAACGTGAATAAAATTTTTATCTATCTATCTATTTTATAATATATAGAAAATACTTAGACCGATACAAACAATTATACTCATGAATACAAATGTGTGTGCCGCGTGAAATCGAAACTGCGACCAACGGTGAGTGTTAAACCACTAGACTACCAAGACTATTAATGATAAAAAGAAGTTAAAATTATATTTTATATTCTGGGATAAAATGTCAGGAGAAAACGAGATTTTCAATTTTAGTTTTAATTGTTATGATTAATATTTGAAATACTTCCCTGTGTCTGTCCCCTTTTATATATATATATTTGTTCTTGTTTTAGTGCCATTGAAAATCAGCCATGTTCACATAGTATTTAATAATATTTAATACTTAAATATTGTAAAACGGAATACTGTATTTTATGTGTACATTAAAATAATGTCGAAGATCTTATATACAAAATTCTCGTGTCACAGTTTTCATTCCCATAGAAATAGAAATAATCTTTATTCAAATAAACTCATTACAAGCACTTTTGAATAGTCATATTTTGATTCTACCACTCATTCGGAATGCAGATTCATCACAAGAAGAATGAGCAAGAAACTTGTGTGTTGCTCTTTTTAATAGACGTTTTTTTTATATAAATAATTACAGTATAATAAGTAAGAGGCATGCGATAATCAACATAGAAGTCACTACGCACTCATTATTAATGTAATCAGATAATATTGTCAGTGCTATGGATTTAAAGTTTTTCTATAAAAACATTATTATCGTTAACGAAAAATATTCCTCCGAAACGGCTTCACCGATTCTCATGAAATTTTGTGAGCGTATTGAGTAGGTCTGAGAATCGGCCAACATCTATTTTTCATCCCCCTAAATATTAGGGGTAGTCCACCCCTAATTTTTATTTTTTATTTTAAGGCAAAACAACGTTTGCCGGGACAGCTAGTAATATATACACATGTACCTATTTAGTAAGTAGATTAGAGAGATCTACGTGCCTGCAGACAAACCCCGACAGGAGTTTTGCAGAAAAGTATAATTATAATATGTAAAATAAAAAAAAAAAAGCTTTTTATACATATACCTATCTATAGAACATACAATAAAGCGGAGTGAGTGTGTAATGAGTGGAGCCATTTCAATGCCTGGATGTAAAAACTGACTATTTTTATATGTTAAATTAAGTTTAATTATATAGACCTTTTATTTAATCATATTGTTTGTTTGTTTTTTTTAATATTGTAAAATTGTAAATGAGATCGCTTTGAGTGAAAAGCCGTTTATGTTCTCATATGTTTCTTAATTATTTGTTCTTTTTTTTTATGCACAATGAAGAGTTTTAGTATTATTATTATTGTTGAAAAGCAATGAATAAATATTGTTTCTTTCTTTCTTTCTCTGTCTCTTTCTTTCTTTCTATTTAAATCATAATCGTTCTTCAAGAATTTTATAAAGGATCATTTCTCGACGATAGCAGAGGGGTGCAGTGTGGGACACTTTTAACGTTAGTGCCCCGTCTCTCACCCCTACTTCAATTATCAAGTGCTACATTTAAGCTTGTACTAAGGACTAATATGGGAATACTACGGAAGTAATCTAGTCTAGTCTAATCTAGTCTTATTAATATCTGTTTTAACGTACCTATTTTCAGAATATTGTAAAGTGGGAAGTCGTAACCAATTTAATTTTGTTTTTAATTTATAAATAGATTATATTTTATTTATTTGCATCCAATACTAAGATAAAGCTGGTAGTAGTTCGTAATTTATATAACAATAATTATAACTCTGAACAATTCACACAGCGCTCTCTAGTCCCAAGATAAGCAGACCTTATGGGTTACTAGACAATTGATAGAAATACTTATACATACATAGATACACATTTTTTTTACATATATAATATACTCATAAATACAAAATGTTTGCATCGTTCGAGGAATCGAACCCGTGACAATCATTAAGTAAAGTCATGAGCTAAACCGCTGTACCATCGAAGTTGTCAAAAAATGTGTATGTGTGAATAAATAGCTTTAATTTATTCACTAAAATATTAATATAGCATGATTCTTTCATTTTATGGTATCAATAATTCTCGTTGTAGTAATTAGAGTTCTCTCGTTCTGTTTTTATAAAAGTATGCCGTATCTCACGCTTCAAACATCCGGAATATAGAATAAAACCACCTGGCGGCAGTAGGTCAGACGGGGGACTGCTGACCTTGAACAAACAGCCCCTCACCTTCTCTCTGAACGGTCGGTTTGTTTCAACGTTTTTACCTGTATATTCATTTTATTGATTTCTTTACAGTAAAATTACGTTTGTCAGATATAATTGAATATAACAAATTGGTTTCTATAATTACATATGTGTTTCTGTAGAGGTTATGTATAAGTAATTCAACCAGATTTGAATTTAAAAATGAATCTGTATTAGTGTAAACATGTATAATATATATTTGAAAAGAATACGAGCTGAGTTTCTTTTCAGTTTTTCTCATCTCGTAATCGTTACGAACTGACGGTAGATTTGACATATCATAAGAGTCTGTAATAGATCTATATGAATAAAGATAGTTTGAATTTGAATTTGAATTCGATCAATAAAAATAAATGATGTCGTCATGAAAGGATATAAAGCCTTTTAAAAGCCCAAAAGTCAAGTGTTCTTTTATATAGAGCACGGGTACATGTATTATATCTTTCTATTATATATATAAACCTTCCTCTTGAATAACTCTATGTATTAAAAAAACCGCTTCAAAATCCGTTGCGTAGTTTTAAAGATTTAAGCATACATAGCTATAGACAGCGACAGCGACTTTATTTTATACTATGTAATGATACAAACACAGCTAGTTATGAACAAATGCTTAGAAGAAATGAAGCAACGAAATTTTGTTTGTACGTGCCTAATTTAGGGAAAAAAAAATTGATATTTTCTGCCCGCCTGCTGAGATGAGATCGATTTTGTAAATAAATATTATATTAATAAACAGTGCGGTTTTATAGAAATAGAAATAATCAAATTCAAATAAATTCAATTTCAGAAATTCAAATAAACTCATTACAAACACTTTTGAATAGTCATATTTTGATTCTACCACTCGTTCGGAATGCAGATTCATCACAAGAAGAATGAACAAGAAACTTGGGTGTTGCTCTTTTTAATAGATGTTTTTTTTATATAATAATTACAGTATGACAATTAAGAGTCATGCGATAATCAACATTGAAATCGCTACGCACACATTATTAGTGTAATCAGATATTATTGTCAGTGCTATGGATTTTAAGTTTTTCTATAAAAACATTATTATCGTTAACGAATTCATCAATTTTATAGTAAGCTTTTTTGCAAAGGTTTAACTGTTTTATATGACATTTAAATCTTTTTTCTGACTGATTTATAAAAATTAATACTAAATTTCTTGTAAGATCTTTTTAAGTAAAACTATTAGTGGAAATTAAATTACATGAAAGAAATACGTTTAAATGATATTTAATTAAAGCGCGGTAAACACGCTGAGGCTTTAACCGGCAGACGCTGAACCGGATCCGGTTTAGCGTATGCCGGTTAAAGGGCGGTGAAAAGATCCGGTTCAAAGTTGGTTTTCATCACGACACTTTTCTACAAATTTTGAAGTTAGTATTAAAAATATATTAGGTCCTAACATATGTTATTGGCGTTTTGTAAGGGAGTAACCTAAAGTCGATTTTTAGACAGCCACTAGACCACCGAGTGCTTCAAAATAAAATATACTATACTATAATACTCATTTTAAAACTATTTAAACTACAAACAGTTGCATTCTATATAAGCCGGTAACAGCGAGGCGGGTTACCAGGATCCATTGTATTTACAGAACTTTTTGAAATTAATCTGTGGCTGAACCGAGGTACAACTAGTATTAGTGTAACTCAAACTGATCCATTTAATATTTAAAATCAAAGACCTCCAATCAGAATACGCCGGGAAGATGCTGCAACTTGAGGCTACGGAAACTTTGTTCTCCGTGAAAGGCTTAAAAGGATATTCCCCGGAGCGAGCCCTCCGTACAAAATGTGCTTTATGTATGTTTACTACAAGCAATTAAACTTGATGATATTCTACAGAATAAGCAACTAATATGAAGGGATTTTACATAATGTATAAAGGGTAAAAGGATTTTCTTTTTTGGAAATATTGCAATAGTTTAAGTTTATGTGTGTTTTATTGTATACTAGATACATATAAACTTTCCTCTTAAATAACTCTATCTAGTAAAAAAGCTTCAAAATCCGTTGCGTAGTTTTAAAGATTTAACAATAAATAGGGACAGACATCGACGGTTACTTTGTTTTATAACATGTAATAATGAAGTTTAGATGAACTTAAGTATATTAAGTTTATTTTAATTGTGACTGTTATGTGTTTAATCTACACATACACATACAAACACACTTACACATATAATTTTTAATAACATATTTTTTTAATACACTATCAATGGTAAAAGTTTATCTTTTTGTAATTGTTGCAATGTTTTATTTTTATTATTTTGTGTGTGTTTTATTGTATAAGTTCAGTTTAAGTTAAGTATATTAAATTTATTTTTGTTGTGACTGTTATTTGTTTAATCTACTGAGTAAATAACAATTCATTTCACTAACATGGGAGTAAACTCTATCAATTAAAAAAAGAATCATCGTCAGTTCACGAGTTTTTCTATACCACAAACGCAAAGAGCACACGATGTATCGTATAGTATAATGAATTGTTATTAAAAAGACTTACCCGAGAAGATGCTGGCTAAAGCAGCGATGGTGAAGCTGATAAGGGCTGCTGGTCCAGCGAACTTGCGAGCCACCATGCCCGCTACGAGGTACATGCCAGTACCAACGCATGAACCAACCCCGAGGGATGTTAGATCGGTAGTCGTGAGGCATCGCTGTAACAAAGATTTCAAATAAATTTATTATATGAAAAATGCACATACATAGTTTTTTATTTAAGCCATTTCAGAGATTAGCCGGAAAGACAGACCGACAAAAATTGTAAAATATGTCATTTTTGTGTATATAACACATTTATATTCATATGCATGTAGTAAAAAACAATTATTTCAATAATACAAACAGACACTCCAATTTTATTTATATGTATCGATAAGGCGTTTAGTAATGATGTAGGTATATCTTGCCCACTGAGCAAATAATCACTACGTTTTTCGCTTAATGTAACACAAAACTAAGTGGAGTTTTTTATTATGCTTGTTTGCCGCCTACGTGATATAAAAAAAAATTGTACTCGATGACTTTCATTACATTCGGAGAAAATTGGGACATATACACTACATAAAATATAGGTAGATACTATACGAGGCCAAATAACTATTACTGTCTAATTGGTTAGAATTTTTACTAAAAATATAGTAAAAAGTTTCACCATTCATCTCAGCATACTTATATATTACGTAAGTTTTTTTATACTACTATGGCGGTAAGCATACGGCCCATCTGATGGTAAACGGTTAACGCAGCCTATGTTCGTCTGAGACACCAGGAGTGTCACGTGTTGTCGACCCTTAAGAAACCTTAATATACCGTTCTTGAAATCCCCATGCTGTAGTCTCGAGGGTAAAACTTGGCAGGTAGTTCATTCCACAATCTAAGTGTACGCGGGAGGAAGCTCCTCTGAAATCGTATGTATTATTAAGTGAAGAGCCAGTGTGTAATGTATATTAATGTGCACAGTTTTTTTGTTATGATTCGCTTTGAACTCACGATCTTTTCTGTGTAAATCACGGTCGTAAACCACTGAGGCACGATACTCTCAAAGACCGTTCTTATTTGCTTAAATGTTAGTTATAATCTATATACAGGTACTATATTAACTTTATTTAAATTTGAATATTCTGATGTACAAAATTCTCGTGTCACAATGTTAGTTACCATACTCCTCCCAAACGGCTTGATCAGTAGGTTTGAGAATCGGCTACTATCTATTTTTCATACCCCTAAGTGGTAAGGGATATCCATCCCTAAATATATATTTTTTATTTTTTCGACGTAATATTTTATTATTATTTAGGATTGAAAAATACATACAACCCTAAATTTTCACCCTTCTATCACCAACTCCTATTTTTTATAGCGTTATTAATTTATATGGCAACACATTTACCGAGACAGCTAGTTTATTTATAAATTGTTGAAGCAGTTTCTTGTAAGTTCTCGACTTAAACTATTTAGATCTGTAAAGTTCTAAGTAAGTAGGAATATTCCGAACTGACGGTAATTTAATTTAGAATATGTCTGATAACAATATAGCTACTTGTACATGAATGAACATATTTAGTTTTATTTCATTCGATTTATAACTTTAGTACTTTGTCAAAGTGACCTTATTAACAACTCCAAACATTATGTACATTATATACGTATGTTACTGGTAGTTTGTCTACCATTCTTTTTATAAACTTTATATGTATTTTTGATATCTATTTTTTATATGTCACTTTTGACTAACTAATTGTTTTGTTACTTTCCTTCGCTGTGGGCCTTTTTGGGAAATATACACTTTTTTATTAGTATTTGGTTTTTATTAAAATAGTAGTTGTGTTCCCGCTCCAGTAAGAATATATGGTAGTAAGTCGTAAATGTTTACTCTGAGTTATCCGCCTAGATATATATATATATATATAGAAGGTATCCGCAGAATACGCTCAGCATATGTCGTGGCACCCCGTCACGACATATGCTGAGCGGAGACCTATTTGGTATTATGAAATTAATATAAATCTATATAATGTAACTTAATTTAAAATTTATTTTTATTATTGCTACATAGCAAGACAGAAAATTGTACTATATTGTCACATTAACAATTTATTGCTAATATTTGAAAATAGAGAGAGAAGAAATAAAAACAGAAAAGACAAAAGAAAAAAAAATGTTTATTTGGTACATACCAATTAAACATTTCTGTTTTTTATTTCTTCTCTCTCTATTTTCAAATATTAGCAATAAATTGTTAATGTGACAATGTAGTAAAATGTTTACATGCTCGACGTCGCATTTACCTAGATGAGCTATCTCATTCCTTAACTCTACCGCCAGACTGAACGAGCGGAAATTTATTTTTGTATAAATATGTTAGTCTATATATCACTATATACACTATATACCTACTATATGTCAGCTACTCGTCTCGGCTTTGAACGGGTGTACATGTATTATATATATAAAAACCTTCCTCTTGAATCACTCTATCTATTAAAAAAACCGCATTAAAATCCGTTGCAAAGTTTTAAAGATTTAAGCATACATATGGACAGACAGCGTGAGTGGCTTTTTTATACTATGTATTAATAATGATGATAGGTACTGCTTACTAATAACAACACAAGCCTTTATAAATTATCTATATATAAATAAAATTGGAGTGTCCGTTTGTAATATTGAAATAACCGTTTTTTACTACATGCATATGAACATAAATACGGTACATACATCAAAATAACTTTTTTTATAGTTTTTGTCTGTCTATCTGTTTGTTCCGTTTTGTTTTGTTATAAAAAACAAATTGTTATAACTATTCAAAAGTGCTTAAATTAAGGTTATTTCAATAAATTATTTTCTAATCTGTTCTTAAATAAATGTTGACTTTTAAAAAAACAATAGTCGCCTTTAGAGTTACTTTCCCGTTTCCAAATAATAATGTAAATAGGTAAGAATCTTCTTAAATTGAATGTTCTGTCTATACTATAACACAATCCCTTCTTCACGGTTCACTCTCAGAGGACTACATGAAGAGTCTATTTTACTTTTTTTACGACAGAATTGCTACTAGACATTTCCAGTCACAACCCGCAGTGGATAACAAGACCCGTCTCAGAATAGTCTGTTTCAGAATCTGACATTTCATTCAGATAGAGAAGATAGAAGATAACGTGCGTAATATTCGCGCGGGTGTACATATATGTATTATATATATAAAACTTTCTCTTGAATCACTCTATCTATTAAAAAACCGATCCAAAATCTGTTGCGTAGTTTTAAAGATTTAAGAATATATAGGGACAGACAGCGACAGCAACTTATCTTAAAATTGATTAATTATAACTGTTGCCTGCGACTTCATCTACATTTCCGTCGTTTTTCGTAAAATAAGTAGGCCACTTCTTTCCTCACGGTTCAGTAGTTTTGATGTGTTGTCCTAACATTTCCCTTCACTGCTCTGCTCCTATTGATCGTAGCGTGATGATAAGTATACTATAACCTGCCCAGGAGTATGAAGAATAATGGTACCAAGTTTCGTTAAAATCTATCGAGTAGTTTTTGTTTCTAGAACGAACATACAGACAGACAAACAGAAATTTTACTGATTCCATTTTTGGAATCAGTATCGATCACTAATCACCCCCTGATGGTTATTTTGGAAATATATTTCATGTACAGAATTGACCTCTCTACAGATTTATTATAAGTATAGATTTGATAGGTAGATATAAAATATCTTTTAGTATTATATTGTAAAATAGAATGCCCATTCCCATAAAATACATATAGATCATAATAGTAAAAAACACTTATGGTCCCACTGCTAGGCACTACAGTTTTCTTTCAAGTTTTCCTTCGCAAACTCTGATATATTTGCGCCATGTTGCCCTGGTCGGCTCTTACGCTATTCCAAGACGAAATAGATCATTCATATATTACGTTCGTCTTTGTTACCGTACTGTATATACATATATTTCTGGTTAATAAAAGTGTAGACTCACTGCGATCGCAACTTCTTCATGATTGCCTTGCCTTTATACCATTATTTGTGGTCGGCGCAGTATGTCATTCTCTTCCACTGCTCTCTATCGGCCGTCATATCTGAACATACTCTTCTTTTATTCATATCATCTTTCACACAATCCATCCATCTTTTTTAGGGCGCCCCCTCCCTTTCCATCCATCATCCATCATCCATCCACTTCATATTATACACTTTCCATAAGACATCACACATTCCTCCGCATAACATGCCCATACCAGATCAATCTGTTACCTCGCAACTTGTCTATAACTGACGCAACTTTCAAACTTCCTCGTATTTACACATTCCTTATTTTGTCACTCCTGTTAACCCCACACATCCATCTCAACATTCGCATTTCTGCCACATGCACACGCCTTTCGTCCGTCCCCTTTACGGCCCAACATTCAGATCCATATAAAACGTCAAGTCTCTTAACTAGCTCTAATTTATCTCCTTAGGGATGGAATTTATCAAAATCATTTCTTAGGGCATGCCTACGTCATAATAGATTTATGCATGCAAAGTCTCAGCCCGATCGGTTCAAAATTGACCAAATTTCATACAAATTCTGATCCTCTATTTTATCCCCTTGGGGCTAGAATTAATCAAAATCCTTTCTTAGCGGATGCCTACATCATAACATCTACCCGTATGCCAAATTTCAGCCCGATCCGTCCAGCGGTTTGGGCTGTGCGTTGATAGATCACTATGTCAGTCACCTTTGAGTTATATATATTTAGATTTATAATTTTTACACTTTGTGAGATCGCAACTTCTTGTTTGGTAATAATCGATTGATTTTTGAGGTTATACTGTACAATTTAATAGACATAGATATGTAATAGCCTAAATATTTGAGATGGATTATCCATCTCAATCACTTCTGTAGAGACTATAAACATTGTTACGATTATATTAAACTTCGGACAAATAAACACTGAAGTAATTTAAGAGAATCTTTGACTATTTGTAAGCTACGTAATTGCAGACTAACATAGAGTAACATTATGTTAATGAATACAAAACTCACAAAATTATGAAGTCCTAGACGAAACCGAGCGGGCCATTCATAAAAAACAACATGAAAGAAAAGTATCTATCAATGTTCTAATACCTAAAATAGATTTGTTTGATGTTTCA